CTCATTTAGATTTTCCCGAGAACCGCTCTACAGCCTGGTACAAATGGATTCCCAGATTTTCGACAAAAAAACTTCCGCAACGAAGTAGCGCGTTACGTGAACAAGCCGTCGACCGGACCAATTTTTTGTGGGGTCGTAATGTGACTGAATGGAAACTAGAGTTTTCCAGAAAACCCATAGAAGAATAGGTCAGAAAATTCTGAACAAAAATACAGTGATTTTCTTTTTCGATGTTCTATCTCTGAGATAAATTTCAGTCTGATTGAACATAGGCTTCCCTGGTTCCAGAAAAGAGGGGAAGTACCCTTAACAATTTCGACGGTTCAATATTAGCATAAAAAAATGTTGTGTAAAAGTATTTTTATTGTGGCACCTGAAACATCGAGGAACTCATACTCAAAATAGTCTAAAATTTGATAAAAACTAGCAGTACATTCTAAAAACTTTTTCAAAATGATATTTTTAAATTAGAAACGATTTTACACACGAATCTAGCCAGACACACCCAGTGACTTGTTAATGAAAACATTTCTTTTTGTGTTCACACTGTCAAACTCCTCATATAAATCTAACTTGGCAAACCATTTAATCCCTCGTAGGGTCAAAACTAAGTACGAGCTGGCGAGCTCAGAATCGCCCACTGCCCCATATTCATTCTATCTTGAAAAAAATACTTTTAAAGTGGGCAATACAGATGAAAGAAAAGGAATTTTAGCTATGGGTGAGAGAGTGCAAAACAGAGATAACCAAAGGAATATATAATCAATTTCTTTTTGTTTTATTTTATAAATGTTTGTTTGAAAAAAAATATTATTTTTATTTGATTACATTCTTCTAGCAGATATCGATCTGTCTGTGTCAGCAATGATGAAGAAGTCACTGAAAATAAGAATGAATCAAGGGCACAAATAAAGTTAGTGCGCTATGCACTGAAGAACATTCTCTCAAACAGTAAATGCAAGTTTGCATTGTACAAGTGATAAATAAATCTCAAACATAGCCGAAAAGATCTTTAGTTCCTACGGGCCTGAACAAAAACGAAAATACAATTGTACATCAGTAAAAGCCAGTATACAATGCCGAAACATAATAAATAAATATGTTCTAAGAAGCAAAGAATGCAAGATATTTTGTTATGGAACGAAACTGAACTCTGTTTAAGCCTCTCAGAACTCTCGTTCTGCTTTCTTCACTTTGACTCAAAATTTGCGGAAAAAATTTTCTACACTTAGAAATTTTCCAATCGGAAAATACATAATCGTCCAGGCTGAATGTGATAGCAATGTTTGTATTCACGAAAGAATACGAAAACCGGACAGTCCAGTCTTATAGCCCAAACGGGATATAAAAAGTCGGATCCTATTCGGATATGAAAATATATCCTCTTCAAGATGTGGTCCGATCACGCTATTTTGTAAACTTTGTTGTTATCAAGATACGCATCGGAATGAGTTGAAATCTTCAGGATACATGACACTTTGGCTAATCTATACCATAGTTATAAGCAATCCACAAAAATATATCACATTATGGTCTTTCAAAGGTGTTTCTAGGGAACCTTAACATAAAAGATAAATCCCTTTTCCTTATTTTCTATCCCATAACGACGTCTAGTCGATAAAATTGAACGCAACCTGAAGCTTTCAACTGGTTTCGATACTTTTTGAGAGAATTGTGAATTGTCCACTATACGTTCATCCCGGAATCGTCCAAAGACCGTCGTAACGAGATTACTGGAAAAAGTAGCGACACCTCTGTAACTCAAGAACCATGATAACTAAGGACTTCTAATTTTGTGTGATCATGGCCCTTACCACATGCTGATCACCCACCAAGTTTGCGCCTCTTTTACTGGATGATTCATGAGATATCAGCGATTGATTTATTTCCGTAAAATATCAATAGCTCCTGACCTAAGAGAGATGAAAACTTTTTCTCTTTACAAAAATGCAGCCACGACTCTACTGTATTTACGATATAAATTTCGTGAGTTGACTGTAAGAAGTCAGCAAAACACAACTATTTTACGGATGAGGTCGGCTTTTTATTTGTTGAAAATTCGAGGTTCTTTGCGAAAAAAAATCACAATTCCGTCTAGAAACATCATTTTGACTGCAAATTCGCACCAGATGCTCTGCAGTGTCTGTAGACTATCCAGCCAAAGTATAAAGGTTAACTATTGTGTGATTCTGGAAATTCATTGAGGACGAGCACCCACGATTGAACTATATGTAGAAGTGTGAGGGTGCTGAACTAAGGGTCGCTCTTTGTACTATAGTATTTACATTGAATGTACATCATAATCATGAAGAAATAATCATGGAAACCTATGATTCGAAAAACGTAGGTGAAACTTTTGTCAGAAAGATTACACACTCACCTCGAACCTTCGCTATTTCACTTATTTTACGCCCTTTTTACTCCCCATATATTTTCAAGCAAAATTAATAACATATTTGTGATCAGCAGACAAAACTGGATCATTCGTTTCATTGAATAACCAATACGTAATATTTACGAAAGCTATTCAGAGCGCTAAATCTCAGGACGCGAATTCGCGTCGCCTGTACTCAAAGGATTAATGTTCCAGTAGATTTTCTCAAAATATGTATGATTCAACGAAATATAGCAGTACAAAATGCTTTATTTGTATTTCAATTTTATAGTATTGAGTTGAGAATCTTTTAGACATATTAATCATCTGTACTGTTTTAGAATAAGGGACTATCTTACAGAATCATAGTGTACACGTGGCACAACATGTGAGTAAACAATAGAAAAAGATATTTTTTACAGAACAGAGAAAAAAAACCTTCTAAATGATCATTCGATGAATGCCTGATGGAATATAGCAGTACGACGGAGTGCATTTTGTCGTTCTATACTCTCATTATTACTTTTTTATTCATTCGCATCTGAATGTCGGCTGATATCAAACAATTTGCATTGCCAAAAGCTTCACATTACAATACATGTGTTAAAATATTGATTAAAAGGTATTGTAATCGTTTTATAATTTGTAAAACAAGTCAACAAGAAAATATGACTTTTTGCCACGTTCCTATCTATGATAGAATTTCTAGATTTATTGTTTTATTTACGATTTTTCACTTTTCAATTTCGAGTGTAGAGCTTATTTGTTGAAATCACACAAGAAAATAGATAAAAGAGATGAAAATAAATTGAAAAAGAAAGACTAGTCCATATGTTACAGTCGAAATCTATCACGACTAAAATGAATCTAGTCGATATTTTGCGTTCTCATCGTGGACAATTTTCTCATATTCTTGGGTATGCGTTGACTAATGACAATGCACGCCAATTAAATTTAAGTATCACTAATACAGAATTACTCAATAAAGATTATGAAACATACGTTTCAAAATTAGATCATGAACATTATGTGTGGTTGGGAGGTTATGGTGAACAAAGAAGCATTTACAACTCGAGTTCATTATTTTCGGATGTTGATCGATGCATCCATTTGGGTGTTGATATTCAACTAACACCGGGAACATCGATTTTTGCTCCATTGGCAGGAAAAATTCATAGTTTCAATGATAATGCTCAACCGTACGATTATGGACCGACAATAATAATTGAACATGAATTGAATGGACATACTTTTCATACCTTGTATGGCCATTTGAGTCGGGAAAGTCTGACTAATTTAAAAATTGGACAGTTAATTGAAAAAGATCAATTATTTTGTCATATTGGCAATCGAGAAGTGAACGGCGGTTGGCCACCACATTTGCATTTTCAAGTGATTGAAGATATGCAGAATAATATCGGTGATTATCCGGGAGTAGCATCGAAGAAAGACGCACCAATGTTTTTGGCTAATTGTCCCGATCCCTCTTTTCTATTAGGATTTCCAAATGAACCGATAATTTATAATATTTAAAAACAAAATGCATTTTTTTTACTGTTGTTCAGCTGATAATTAATTTCATTATAATTTGTCAATAAAAGGTTCAACTTTAACAATATCAACTAAAATTGGAGTTTATGAATGAACAATTGTTTTGATAGCGATCCACTTACCTTTGTTAATTTTTTAGTATTTATCATACACATGAAAAATGACTGATTCATCTTTGACAAGTAATACTGTTGAACTTCAAGAATATGAACATGGACGTAAATCAACGTGTTTTCACATCAGTAAATCGCACCATACAGGCCATGAACCTCGTTCACCATTCAAAGTTATACCACAAGACAGACGTTTACGTCGTTCACCATCAACAGGAACTCATCATTCACCATTAGTAATTAAATTAATTTCATTATTTGAAGAATTCTTTCTTGCTGAAGATTATCCGGATGGAGTTAGTGAAGATTATTTAGAATTTCAATTCTGGAATACAATACAAACCGGTAAATGGAATAATAGTGTTTATTTTTATCTTAGTACATATCTTTTTGTTTATTTAGGTTGTATCGCAATTACGGGTGCTCTTGCCTTTCATATGGTATTTACGGGAATGGGTATTGGAAATCCGGCATCAAGTTCCTTAGCTGCAACGATCATTTGGCTGTTGAAGGATGGTGCTGGAATGTTAGGAAAAATATTTTTTACATGGATTCAAAGTTCTCATCTTGATGCTGACTGTAAAAGATGGCATTATTACGGTGATTTGTTGAATGATTTTTCTTTCTTACTCGATTTAATATCGCCTTATTTTGGTTCATACCTGTTGTTAATAACAAGTACATCGAATATATGCCGCGCAATCGTTGGTGTAATACATGGATCAACTCGTGCTGTCATATTTCAAGTAAGACTTTGTATATTTTCTCATTTGAAAGAATTATACAAATAGTATTTTTAGCATCATGCGCGAAATAACAATTTAGCTGATATAAGTGCGAAGTGTGCAAGTTTAGAGACAAGTAAGTTTTGAACTCATTATTAATGATTCTCGTACAATATTTGTTATTTTTTCTTTGCAGTGATTAGTTTGCTAGCTTTAGTTATTAATGTTATTTTACTCACATTATTGGACAAGACACCCGTATTATTATGGTCTGTGTTTACAACTCTGACTACTATACATATTTATGCGAATTATCGTTCAAAACGCGCATTATTATTCAATATATTTAACTTTAATCGATTTTATCTTGTTTGTTTCAATTATTTTAACACAGGAACAATATCTACTGTGGAAACGGTGAACAATCAAGAACCAATCTTATACCCATTGAAAAAACCGTATGCATGTCGTTTAGGTTTATCCATTAAACACATACCATCACCAACATTACAGTCAGCAAATATACAACGTTATAAACAGTCTGATAATGAAAGATTTCTTATTTTGTTTTCACAAGAACAATTTTATGTTTTACTCAAACCAGAAATTGATGATGATGATCTGTTACGTCTTCACTTTTATCTCATGGTTGTAATGTATACTATGCAAAATAAAAATGTACTCAAAATAAGTGAATCAACAACAAATTTTGAAAATGTTTTTCAACAAATTAGAAATGAATTACAAAATACTAGTGATCATATTAATTTCGAAACATGTCTCGATATATTGCAACAATCAAATGATCAATATTATCAAAATTTTAAACGATGTTGTATTGAAAAAGGATGGAATATGAAACGATGCCTATTTAATCTTGAAATACATCGATGTAAATGAAAAATAAGCAAATAAAATGTAAGCCGTTCCGAACAAACATTTTTATTTAAAATATTATATTCTTCAAATCTCATAACTTTTTTACTCAAATGTGATAACTTTGTTTACTGCTATTATTAGGCAATTTTTTGTTATATTCTCGCAATGTTCTTTCTGACATAAATATTTCTTAGCTTTTATCTATTGTTTTTTTCTAACTCTGACAAACAAAATCTACTACATTGTCGGTTTAGTCATGTTAGAATGAAAAATTGATTTTATATCTGATCAAATATAGTGATTTTGTTTTCGTACTATGAACAAGTCAGTTTTACTTTCTGTATTAATTTAGTACTGAATAAAATGTAGACTCAGCATTTCAATTTTGGTTCTGTTACTACTTTCTGTTATTTTTGTATCAATAAACTAAATTATTGCTTTTTCATTTACATGGACAATAAAATAAATCTTATAGCCTTTCGGTTTAACCCGAAAGTGTCATGTGTCCTTTTTTTATCTAAACAAAAGGAGAGCAAAACAAATAAATAAACACAAAATAAACATAATTTCCTAAAAGATGAAACAGTTTTTTCGTAGACACTTACAAGTAGAAATCAACAGATAATCACAGTCCCACATTTGAAAAGATGAAAAACAAAAAATGTAAACAAAAACAACAAAAAAATTGACAAGTTTGAGAAAATTGCCACTTTTCAAGAATATTCAATAAGATCACCGTTTTTTAGTTATACATTCCGTTCTAGTACGATTTTTTCTCGATAACAGACGAACAAAATGTAAAAAAAGACACAATCATTAACAAAAAACAACGGAAAAAGAAACCTCTATTAAAAATTGAATTTAACATATCTCGGACGATAAATCCGAAATTTATATTTTCAATAACAAGGCTCATTTGACAAGAGCTAAAAATAGTTGCTGGATAATCATAAAAGAGTTAAGTATTTTATAATCATAGTTTTTTCTCCCTAAGAGTAGAAAACAAATCAGCAATAAATAAATGTTTAATTGTTCATAATTCATGAGGAAAGTTACCGTTTAGCAGCCAACGTTGACAAGACTTGATGTCCAAAGATAAATAATGGTATCGATAACAATACCAGATAACGAATAGTTTGAAACATATTCAAATATTTCCAATAAAAAAACATTAAAGCAAAAAATGCTAAACAAGAAAGGACAAAAGATGGATAAGTTTAGTAAAAAAATTGATTCAACAGAAAAAATGACAGCCTATCAATTACCAATGACACTTGCAACTACAGTTAAACTCATATATTATTACCTGCATGAGAAAGGTGAAAAGCTAATGGATTTAGATTAAATGGCATTGCTGAAAGATTAAAACCGAGTTTGAACCACTAGAACATAGAAAGTATAACAGATAAAAGTTGATGGATATAAGAGTTTATTTCCAGTGAGAATTACCAATCCAAATAGAATAAGAAGTGGCATCAATGTTAAACCACTGAATATCAATGAGACAACCGTTGGTGGTCGTTTTTCATCCAGTCTGAACATATGTCTAATTTCTGGTTTTGGTACATAGAGTCGTGTATGTGGGATATCACCAATAGCGTCTTCATGAAATGTCAAGGTAGCATCTGTCTAATATAAGACAAAATGTCAAAAACTATTAATAAACAGTTCGTTTCAAAAGTACCAGTTTCCACGAAAATGAGTTTTGAAGTAACATATCACCGATAATTAATACGATTTCATATAAACCAGATTGATGACGAAAATCATTTGAATTAGTTGTTAGGTCCTATCGACAAAAATAAGTACAAATATCTAGAAAATATGTCGTTGGATAATCAAAAAGAAATTTTTATTGTTCACTCGTGCTGGTCGAATAAATAGAAATAATTTAAGAATGCACATACCACTTCGGCTTTGTATTGCGAATTAGCTCCGACTTCAGCTAAATACACGATTTCTTTTTGGGATTGCTTATTTGTGAAACGTAAAAAACACTGTTGTGTACGAATATATTCATTTGTTTGTTTATCTTTAATTTGGAATTTAACGATTACTTTTTGATGATAATCTATTTCCATCTTATCTGTTAATGTAGTAGGATATGACAGTCTATTTTACACAAAAGAATAGAATGGAGTAAATGAGATTTTATGTTTTTTCTAAATGAGATCGACTCACTTGTTTGTTTTCACTTGACCACTATGATCACGATCGACCAAATTCACTTCAGCATTTTCAATTACCGCTTCCGATGTTACTTTAACTTCGATCTCAAAACGACAATTGAACTTTTAATTAAATTTTCACGTAATATTTACAAAAATTTATATACCGTATGATCATTTAAACCAATTAATTTTGCTTCATTTCTAACGGGATTCAATGTCAGATGAATTGTATAGAGACCACGAGGAATTTTTGTGTTATAAAATGGCAATTCATAAACTGAGCTGAATAGAAACAAAAGATAAATTGCATTCTTCGTAGTTAACGGGAATACTTACAAATCACTCGCTTTTGGAACCAATTTTTGTTTCGATATAACAATTACACCATCTTCTTTTCGTTTAGCTGATTCGGCAACGACAGACATTTCACCAATTGGATAACCCATTAAATTTGTTATCGACACTAGTACTGATGGACTATCGGGACTAATCCATGCTGGACTAATTCTTGATACGACAACAGGTACAGCATGCTAAATAAAGCAAAAAATCTTATAAGAATTGTACTTTATGACATTTTGCAGCTGCACACGCTATTGTGAGACTGAGTTTGTGTAAAATCTAACTCATTTTTTAGACAAGATACAGAACAGACACTACAATAACGCAATAAAACTTTGTTCATTTACTCTTGGATCTGATAGTAACTTGTATGCTTTAGTTAAATAATAAGCACTTCTGACTGTAGCCACATGTCGTTTTGTTGAGAAATAATATGCAAATTTAGATAAATGTTGTTCATCTATTTTCAATGGTGCGCCGGCCTTGTCGGCTAACTGATACATAGCACTGAATATCAGTGCTGTTGTTCCAATACCACCTTCATATTGTAAAGATTTTCCATCAACTTCGTCGGCCTGTTGGACTATAGTAATAGAAAGCAAATTACAAATAGCAACCAACAGAATTTAGATATCTTACTAAGATCATGGATGGAATCACTATGATATTTAGAGACTGCAGTATTCAATTGGCTTGCAATCATTAACACATAAGCTTGTCCAAGTACACTATCGTCGGATTTTGTCAACGTTGTTAAACGTTTTTCTATTTGTTCTTCATCCATCGGTATTTGCAAGTTTCGACTAGAAGTTACTGCATAAAATAAATCGGCCAACGTTGTTTTATCTGCTTGTAGTGTTGTTTTGACTGTTGGACGAAATTCATCGATGGGCAACTAAAAAAACGGTGATTGTAAAATTTCTATAATTATCCACATGATTACTAATATGTACTTGACAATTATTCAACGTTTTTGCTGCTTCACTAGCATGATAGATAGATTCAATATTTGCTTTATCAATATTCTTTTTAATATCATTGCACAGATTTTCACTCGGTTGAATGCCAAGTTCTTTGATGCCACATAGTGTATAATGGATTGTCGAGATATCAGTCAATGATTTCATAGCAGTTTGAAATTGATTTTTAATGGACTCCAACGGTGCTGGTAATAAATTTGAACTAGTGGTAGTAGAGGAAGAAACAATCATATAAGATAAGGATAAGAAAAGAAAAATAAATATCTCTCGGAATGTTGATGACATTTTTGCTAAACTTATACAATCTAAAGTAAAAAGTAACACAACTATCGTAAGGAATATAAACAACAACAGAAATTACTAATCGCTTGGCTTTGAAGAACAGCATTATAAAAAGTTTGGTCTAGTGTGATTACAGCTAAAGACAATCTAGTCGTTAAATTGTACAACGACAAATCGCCACCTTCAGTCTTTTTCGTGATATGGTTTAAGTCCCCGGACTTAAGCCGGTCTTAAACTTAGACCTAAGTTTTTTGTGATACGACCCCCAGTGTTCCTAATGACAAAGTGTACATATATTTTATTGTCGTCAAATACACTTGGTTTTATATTTTGCAAAAAAACCAAAGTGTATAACGCACACTTTGGCTTTGTTCTGTGCACTTTGTTTTTTTCAGCGAACTGGTGATGAGGCATTTTCAGCTTGATTATACGTCATCATATAGACGTAAATAGTGAGCTAGATGTGGATGGGACTACAGCTTTACGATCCCGAATCCTTAAAAAGTCTTCGGTCCCTTTTTTTTCCAGAAAATCCCGAAAAACCGTCAAAAACTCACCTTTTTTCGAACACTTTTTCTGTTTCCTAAACAGAAAAAGAATTTCAGTCTCGGTTCCGTTGCAATCCTAGTATAAAATTTCTTATTAGTTCCGATCCCGCTCATGTCGATCGTGAACAGTCAAACGAGTTAGATTATTATGGTTCTAAAGCACACGAGAGTCGTGATTTTTTTTTTAAGTCAATGCATGTTGTATTTGTATTCTGACGAAATAAAATCTTATAAAGAAAGCTTCGTCTGTTTTCTATCGGGCAAATTCTCCGCATTTCTCACTGAATTACCTGTTTTTTCTTTATGTTTGAAAAGATACACATTGCAAAAAGAAATCTGAAAAACAAAATGTGTGTACATTCAGCAAAAAATTCTCATTAGAAACAGCACGTGCCTTCGACAGACATGTGGCAACAGTCAATTTTACTCTGAGGATACATCAGATAGCTTGATGTCAGTTTCTCGGATCCATCCTTAAGGACTCTGTAGCATCATATTAGTTGATCATGATAATGAATATGGACAGCGCCGCAAATAATGGAAGGGTGCGCACAACTCCAGTTAAAAATTTTTGCAACTCTGAAAATTTTTTTTGTTTTTGTTACGTCACATAAAAGCAATATTAACATGTGTTCAACGTTTATATATTCTGAATATGTTAAACTTATGTGTATATATGCTACCGATGATCATATGATCTCGAATGAGCGAATAAAAGAAAACATTGCAGCGTTGTCGCTTTCTGCAGTGATCACATATAAAATAAAGGAGAAAATGAATCAGGACAAAATAACTTCCTATTGGAGTTGAAACGGAGTTGGAGTTGGGATCTGCGGAGTTGGAGTTAGAGTTGGAGTTGAGTTGGAGTTGAACTTAGCCGGAGTTGCCCATCTCTGTCCCGAACAATTGAAAAAGCTGTTGTTATTTTATCCATTATTCCTCGCACAAAATTATTTTTATCAATTTCACTATACTAACTTAGAGAGAGAAATTTTGTTTTACACCCCCTAATATTCGGCTTCTGTTTGCGGCCCTGGGGGTCGCATCACGAAAAAACTTAAGCCCGGGGACTTAAACCATATCACGAAAAAGACTTAAGTTGGCGATTTGTTTACTTTTTAAAAGTCGTTGACAACAGTGACAAATCTCGGATAAAAACCCGCAAAATAACGAAACATTTATTCTTTAATCCTTAGAATGTCGTTTTCGTCGAATCGTATCGTTAAATGCCTGATCTATTCGAAAAATGTATCAATGACTCAAGCCCGAGTTACGTTTTCGGTATTAACTTTAAGACTGCATTTCCCATGACTTAAGTTTTTTTGTGATATGACCCCTGAATATAAGCTTGACTGAGTTCTAAGGTACTAACCATACTGCTTTCGGGATCTCTTTTATTCCATCTGCATGTCCATAATTAACCAGATCTTTTAAACAGCCACCATTCATTATCTGATGTAGTGGCGAATAAGCGATAGAACAGTAGCGCCTCTCTGATAAACCATTCAAACGCAAACAACTGAGTATTTTCAACAGTTGAAAATTCGTTTCGAAAGATAAACATCGTGAAAGGTTGCTGAAAATTTAACAAAACATTTCTTTTTCCTCTGATAAAGTAAATGAAGCACCAACTGTATGTTCAAGAGACCAAACCCCGAACAAACTTCAGTGAAAAAATGTTGAAAAACTTCGTTTGTGCATCACCGTAGGTTTCTAACACTAAGAATTTCGATTTTCTTCTACTTACACTTGTGCCTCATACACAATGAGCATTTTTTGCTAGAGCAGGCGGACTTTAGCTTTATGAGTGAACTAAAATTTCATGAACCATTTTTTTATAGGTTTTTCATGATCCTCTTTCTAATGGCATGAGAGTTGGGTTTTGAAAAAGTTTTC